TGTATGCTCCCCTTCGAAAAGAGGGGGGGGGGGGGGGGGGGGGGGACAGCTCTTCAGGAGTTTTATCTGTAGTAACTTCTTCTTTGTGATGCATTGAGCATATAGGTTCTATTACTTGCATTCTTTATCTGTAACTACAGAGTCCTCAAACACTTGGATTCTGTATGGGTAATAAATTGTGAGATGACTGGTATTATGCCTTGAAGTTGGAGGCACAAAAGTTTAAAGTGCATTCACGAGAGAAACTAGAGACCAGAAGAATCCAAAAGCATGGGCACCAAGAGTGCAATGTGTGGATAATGTGCCTTAAAGAAACAGTTGCTGAAAGAGTAATTTAATTGTTTTTCTTCCAAAATTTATAAACGACATCAACTCTTGCGCCTTTATTCTTTGGTGTTATTGGCATGTTAGTAATATACTGCAGCAGGGGTTGGTAATCTATAGTCTGAGCTGGATCTGGCCTGTGGAGCTGGAGCCTTAGAGGCAGAGGTTTTGCCCACGTCATGCCATGGCTGGACTCTGTCCTGTGCTGAAATACAGCTGGGCAGCAGGGACAAGAGGTAGTGGGGAGAAGCAGCAGCGACCAGGTCCTAGCATCAATCTTCTCTGCACCCAAGCTGGGCTGTATCTGCCCATCCCTGCAAAGTGTTGCTGACTGCTGCACTGCATAGTGTTAATACGCAGCTCTAATTGGGATGACAGCATTTCAGCAAATTATTCTCACTTACAGGGATAGCATTTTTGGGAAAACATTTCTTCCTTGTTTTAATTTTCGTCATTTTTTTTTTCTCTAAGCTCTCTGACAAGAATATTGGAACCCAAACCTATTAAAAAAAAAAAAACTTGGCAGTCCTGATAATTGTCAAAATAACTTCCTGAATACAAAATAATGCAGCAGTGTTGTCAGCCTGAGAGGGCAGGCACAATACAGGTGTAATATAATGTGTTGAGTGAATTGGAAATGTGATATAAATGTGTAACAGAAGGGGAGCACCACTGGGGAGGCCTGCTGGCTGTGATTTTCAGGACTACAAATCCCAGAGGCTTCTGGACGAAGGAAGAGGAAGTGATGAGCAATTCTGCTGTGATTCTGGACTGCAAATCCCAAAGATCTTGGATGTAGGAAAGGGAAGTGACAACACAGTTCTGGGTTGTGCTAGGCATCTGGGGTTGGATGGAGAGAGGTAGAGCTGAGAATGAATGGAGAGGGAAGCCTTCGCACAGCACAGATGATGAACTACATATTGATTGCACGTGACCCCCGACTTGGAGACCTGTACAGAGTGAATCTGGACTAAAGGCTGGTTCTTGGGGACGCTTCCGGAGGTGGGGAGAAAAGAACTTTTTGCTGAATGTATGTATTCCAGTGGTACTGACCACTACCTGTGACTTGCCCTTTTAAGTGTATGTTCTTATATAGTGAATGTCTGTTTACCCGTATTTGTCCCTCCCACAAGGCCCATCAGTTTGTGACCTTATCCCTAGGACTTCCAATATAAAAGTGAGAGCACCCCTTGTTGGCTGTGGCAACCCTGCCTGACACTGCAGGGGTTTGCTACATATGTATACTTTTGGAGTATTTTTACTTTACTCCTGGTAAAAGTGGTGTGGATGTATGCCATACAGCCTTACGCCAGTGTAAATAATTCTGTTCTGGTGTAAATATTCCTTGGAACAGTGGTGCTCAAACAGAGTGCTGTGGCACCCTGGGGTGCCTTGTGATGCTTCAAGGGTGCCACACAGTGTTGGCACTGTTAGGTGAGCCAACATGATTCACAAGATAAACCCAGAGGGTGCATCCCCACAAGCAAGAACACATTTCCCTGTGGACAAGTAGCAGCAGCACACCCTGCTACATGTGCTCTGGCATGTGGTACGTTGCCTTGGGTGGGGTAGGGGAGGCTGGGTGCTGGCCCCAGCAGCCTTACCTGGGGTCCTGGGGGCTTTTGGGAGCTGCGGTGCTCCTGCAGCAGGGAGCTGGGCCAGCAGCTCATGCTTGGTTCTGGCTGGCCAGGTGTTGGTTTTGGGCAAAGGTTTTTTTTGTTTTGTTTTTGTTTTTTGTCCATCAGGTTGGATGGGCAGTGCTCCAGGCTGTCTGCAGGCCAGATCCAGCTGATAGTCTTGACTGGGCAGGGGGCAGTCTTGACAGGGCCCCATCCAGTCACATGGAGAGGGACAGGGTACATCCTGGCTCCAACCGGGTCCCATGGAGGGGGGAAGAGGAGGGGCCCAGCACTAGCCTGCTGTGCAGGGCTTAGGATTTGGGAATTTGGCAGTGGGGGAGGATGGCTGTATTTATTGCTACTGCTCCCCCGGTGTCAAAGTTTCTGACCCAGGGGGAGTGCCACAGGCTGGAGATTTATGGCTCTGTAGGGCATATTTGGCCCGCAGGCTGGAGGTTGAGCAGCCCTGCTTTAGCACATGCTCAACTGGACCCATTATAGATGAAAGTGTGTAATGTTGGAAAACTTTTTAATCTGTTCAAAGCTTCCTTTTTAAAAGAGACCAAGGGCCATGTACAATGATCTTAAGACCTGTGTGCTTTACAGGATATTGGACCTATATTATACAACAGGTTCCCCAACTTGTGCCATATGTACAGAGTTCTGTGACAAGATTGTAACAATTGTTTAAAAAAAAAAAGTCCTGGGTTTATTTGAAATCTATTTCAGTAAGTCTTAGTAGACTGTGTTTTCAAACTGTGTCCACCCCATTGACTGGTGTTTGTTTGGGTTTTTTGGCAATCTTTTATTAACTATTTTACTTTTTACAGACCACAGTGAAAATTATTGGATTAAAAAAAAAGTCTAGCTACGTTTTGAAGTTACGAGGGGAAAGCTAAAGGATGACTGTAGTTTTTTGGGGATATCTGAGTACCTAACAAGTTAGCCATGTGATGGGTGGTGGTGGGGGAAAACCACAGACCCTTACTACCAATGTGAAATTGAAGCACAAAATTTACCTTGCTAAAGATTACACAGAGTACAGTAGCCTAGAGACTGAACCCAAATCTTCGTAAGGCTGCAAGATTTTCTCTTATCTGATGAAGTAAATCTGGCCACTAAGTTCAGATGCCTTTCCTCACTACTTCTGTTGTAGCCCCACTCATTTTCTTCCGAGTGCTATTAATTATTTTTAAATGGCCCTTCTGGTTCTGTCTCTCATTGGCACACACCTTCACTGATCTTTCCTGCTTCTTTACTTTCAAAGTAGTAGTAGTGGTGTATGTCTTGCATTTCAGAGGGAAACCTGCTTATATGCAACACTTATTGTGGAAACTTCTGTTGAAGTGACTACCCAATTACACTCGCTTACTACCATTTGGCCTAGTAACTTCTAAACTCATGTTCCTCTAAAATATGTTTGTATCGACAAATTGCAGGAATATGAGTCACTGGTAACTTGGGTTTTTTAAAAATATTACTTCTCAATCTCTTGAGAGATCCTTTGGGGCTAGTATGTTAGAGTGCTCCATTTTCTGGGTAGACAAGGTGATAGATCCTTGATTATTATTTTTTTTCTTTATTTCCTATCTTTTAACTTTTTGTAAAGGCCTCCTTTTAAGTACCCTTGTCAGTACTGAATATATCTGATATGATAAGCTTTTTTTTTTCATGTCCTAATTGAATAGGGTTGTAGTAAATGCAATATATGGGCAAGGAAGTAGGGTGAAACTTGTGTTCTGAAACTACTTCAGGAATAAGTAACTTGTTTCAGAGGTACTCTTCTTTTGCAGTTTTGGGGACTATTAAGGGTTGTTCCCCGTAAGTTGAATGCCAGATAAATCCAATGTTTTAAGCATATACCACTCT